GCCTATTTGCAGTCACTCCTCATTTCATCTCACTCCTGTCTCTGTGGATTTGCCGATTACAGACATTTCACATAGATAGAATCACACGCTGTGTGGTCTTTTGTGTCTGGCCCTTTGACCTAACTGTTTTCAGGGCCCATGTTGTCGCCTGCGTTAGCGCTTTGCTCCTTTTTATGGCCGGATAACATTCCATTGTACAACAAACCACATTTTCTTTACCCGTTCATTGGTTAATGCACATTTGGGTGGTTTTCACTTTTTAGCTACTATGAATAATGCTATGAACATTTGCATGTGAGACTTTGTGTGGACGTATAGTTTTATTCTTTTCGGAAGGTACCTAGGAGCGGAATTGCTGGGTTATATCGTAAATCTATGTTCACCATCTTAAGAAACCGCCGAGTGTTTTTTCAGAATGACTGTAGCGTCTGCATCTCTGCTGCCCGTGCGCGAGGACTTTAGCTCTTCCACATCCTCATCAGCAGTTGTCATCGCCTGTTTTTTCGCTTGTAGGACAGTTCCTTTTTTTCTCTTCCATTCTGGGTGGTTCTCTCTCCCTCACCCCGCCTTTACTGAGATATAATTGACACATACCATTGTGTACAGTGATGATGTGATGCATGTATATATTGCAGATAGTTCCTATTTTTTAATGGGTCATACATCCCTAATTTGTGCTTTGCTTGATTTTCTTAGACCAAGAACATCTTTTAAATACCAAGTTTGTAAACATTTTAAAAGCTCTATGTAGATATTTAAATGAGTGATTGATTCCAGTTGATTCTTTTCATAGCTCAGACATTCTTGAAAGTAAGGATGAGGTGACCTCTTAAGTTACTGACATGGTTCTGCGCGGCCTGCCCGCCAGGCCTCCTCCATCCTCCATCCTCCATCCTCCATCCTCCATCCCCCATCCTCCAGCCCCCAGCCCCCATCCTCGAGTACCACTCACGTCCTCCATCCTCCATCCCCCATCCCCCATCCCCCATCCTCCATCCTCCAGCCCCCAGCCCCCATCCCCGAGTACCACTCACCTGTCCCGCGCTCTACTCGGGCGCTTCGTCAGAGAACGCATGTCCTCCCTCGGTGGCCTTGTGATCCTGGGCTTTTCAGAATTCTTTGTAAATACAAATATGTGCAGCTCGTTGACACACTTAGATGATTTCAGGTAACGGGTCATAACTCACTCCTCTGAGTCGCAAGTACTGTTTCAGTGGGAGACGTAATCACGAAATCCACTGATAATTTAGTGTAAGAATGTTGTACTAAAAATAGTCACAGTGTGTCACAGGAGAGCAGAGGAGGCTCTGTCCCAGATCGGGGCAGGATGAGTAGACAGTAGGGTCAGGAAATATTTCTGAAAGGAGGCGGACATTTGGGCGCGATGGGGAAGGGTGAGCAGGGCTGGGACGGAGGCAGCAGTCTGAGGAAGGCGTGAGTAGGACATCATGTCCTCACATGCTTGTTACAGCACAAGAGTATACATCTGAGCATGTTTCCCTAACTGTAGTGAACCAGATCTTTTGTTTTCAACATATTAATCTTTTAGGAAGATTAAACATTAACTTCTTTTTACCTTTAGCAGTTTCTTTTGTTCGTTTAATCCTTAACCCTATTGAGTTTCATCTCTATTTTAAACATACTATTAAGAAAGGAAAAATGACACTAATTAGATTGACACACTATCAATTGTAAGATATACTTAGATTTCAGAGATGTTACAATATAAACAAAGTGCTTCTAGAATCAATACTATATGATATTTGTGTTGGAGATTTTTTTTTTAAGCTAAAGAAATCTTGCTGGAATAACAGTAGCGGTCACATGTCTTTTCAACTTTAATTTTAGTGATGCTTTGGGCGGGGCGGGGGGGTGGTTATGTACCAGCCAGGTCAATGTCAGCTTAATTTATCTTGAAAGTTTTTAAATCTGTCATGATTATAATGAAATTAACTTTGATTGAATAATAGAGGGGGAACATGAATTTTGCTAAGATTGGGAAAAATAGGATTTACTAGCGACTACAAAATAGAATTAAAAAGTGAAGTGATGTTTAATGACTTTTGCATAAGTTTTCTGGGAGTTCTTAGCTTTTAAAAATCAATGTTCAGACTCACAGCTCTGCCAGTCTGCCTCTCCTCCCCCTCCCCCGTCACGTTGAACTTGGTCATGAGCTGGGAAGTCTCGGTAATTCAGAGTGCCCCAAAACAGTGTTTGGTGATTGTTCATTCTGACAGCAGGTTCCTAAAGGACTCTACTTTTCAGAGCAAGTAAGCACAAGTCGTGCCGCCCGCGTGCGACAGGGCTGCTCGGTGCCCGTGGGTGGGGAGGGAGAGCATGCAAGACACTGGTTCTGGCCAGAGCCCCGTCTTGCAGAAGCAAACGATTATGTAAGTGGCTGCTAGCTTACAGTGCTGAGGACAAACCATGGGCTACTGTGGTAGGCACGGGGGCAAGGGGTGAGGGTGACAGACGGAAGAGCTGAGGGGACAGGGCGCTCTACCCGTTACTAGCGAGCTGTAGTAAGAGCACTTGACAAGGCATTAACATATTTTCACTAATTTGAAATTTTGCTCTAAAAAGCATGGCTTGGGAAAATATATTATTAGATCTTGAAAAGCTAGGCTTTGAGATCACATGGGAAAATATTTACCATTAGTAGTGTGAAATAAGTGCATATAAACAAGAATAAAAATATATTTCCTTTGTTCAGGCCCTTTCAGTCCTGGACTTGTCTGCACCAGAGCTAGGAATTACCTATTTTATTCCGAATTCTATAGATTCCAGGCCATTTATTTCAGTATTCAAAAGCCCCCAGTTTTAAAAATAAATTCTTCTTATGGGTTAATGAGCAGAAATAACTTTAATTTCTTAGAAAATAGAAATGTGTTTATAATATCCAAGAGGAACTGAAGGAACAAATGCATGCTCATTGAACAGACTGGATATATCTTACTTAGATTTTGTGCAGTATTTTCTCAGCTCAGTGGTATGGTGGAGGTTTTACATCTGTGTGTCATTCATGGCGACAACCAGATCGTGGTGTGCCTGCCGTGTGCCAGACACTGATGAGGCCGTGGGAGATGGAAGTCTGAAGAGAATCGCCTGGAGGAGCGTCGAGCCTGGGGAGGGGCGGGAGACGGGCTAATGCCGTGATGTAACAAAGACACCTGTGAGCAGTTCCCGGATCACAAAGGAGGGACTGTGTATCCTCCCTGGTGAGGAGGTGGAGAAGGGGGCTTTGGCAGAGGTGGTAGCAAATGAGCTGAGTTGCGAAGGGTGAATAGGAGTTTTCCGGCAAAGAGGAAGGACGCTTTGGCAGGCGGACAGCAGCCTGAGAGATCTTGATTGGAGTTCAGGGAACAAGGTCAAGGTTCCGTGCAGGCAGCCACTGGGACTGGAAGGCTAATGTTGCTGGATCTCATAATATATCCCATTGATCTATTTGTGTGCTAGGAGGGTTGTGAGCAATCAGATTTGCAGTTTATCCTGTAGCGTTGGCTTTCTCAGAAGGTATTCTGTGGAAATCCAAGCCCTACGAGTCTCTGGGGGAAAAAAGTGTACTTTAGCAGTACAGCATTAGACTCTACGTGCTAGGTAAAGACACCTGTTTCATGTTTATATTCCAGAAAAAAATGTTCTGGGAAAGGGCTGCTGTTGGGCCTTGCAGAGCTCCTGAGTGTTTTAATCCGGGGAGTGACTTCACTTGATTGACATTTAGAAAATAAACTGGCAGAAGGGTAGGTAGGTGGGGGGAGATTTGTGACAAGGAAACCAGTTTGTAGCTGTTTTCAGTTTCAGTTCTGTAAAATTGGTCATTGATATAAAATTGGTCATCTAATTCCTAAGATGTTTAATCTTAGGAAATTAGAGTACTTCTAAGAAAAAATATTTTAACAACGAACTCAAATACTTAGTTGACAGATGAGATTTTTAAGAGGAGAATTTGGGGCAAATGCAGATTTTGTTGCTGATTTTGATCAAAGATTAAACAGAAATACTTTATAATAATGCTGTCTGATGAAAGAAAATCTTTGGTTTAAATTGTACTTAAGGAGTATATTTAAAAAAAAAAATTCCTTCCAGTATAATCTCTCCAGATCTTAGATCAAAGTGGGGTAGGCTTTTTTAAAGACAAAAAATGCTAGGCATTTTTTATTTTTTAGTTTTTCAAATATATTGTAATGTGTTTTTATATTTAAGGTCCATTTGCATTTCTTTTACTGTGATATATTATTATCTCAGCCAGTTTTTTAAAATAAATTGGAATTTTGATCTTTTTGTTACACTTTTAGGAGCCCTTTATGTATTAAGGAGATTAGCCTTTTATTTGTAATATGAGTTGCAAATAGTTTTCTCTTAGTTGTCTTTTTTGCTTTGTAAAATTACTTGAATATATGCGTAATTACTTGAATATATAAAATTTTTAATGGTGTCTGGGTTTTGAGTCATAGAAAGGGCTTCTGTACTCCAAGGTTAAAAAAGGAACTTACACAGTTTTATCCTAGAACTTTTATAATTTTATGATTTATATTGACATATTTGACCTAGTAGGAATTTATGCTAGTGTATGATGCACAGATGAATCCATTTTTTTCCAGATGGGTATTTGAATTGCTCAAACATCACTTATTGTACAGTCTCTTTCCTCCTCAATGTTGAGATATCGCCTTCATCATTTACTGTTTTCCGTTTCAGGGTTTCATATGTCCCATTGATCTATTTATGTGCTAGTGCTGTAGTATTTTGAGGCTTTATGATATCTGGTAATGCTAATCTTCTAATACGGAATTTTCGGAATTTTCCTTTTTTTACAGGTTAATTTTTCTACATGAACTTTAAAATCAGCTTATATATTTCCAAAAACTAATCCTGCAGGCATTTTGGGCAGAGCAGGGGGCGGGGGTGGCAGTGGGGAGGAGGGGCGATCACTTTCAGTTTACAGATTAATCTCCTTATGATAATGCCTCTAGTCGTAGCTTTAATCTTTTCTCTTACAGATGATATTAACCGTCTTCTTGAGCAACAATGAACAGATTTTGACAGAAGTTCCTATAACACCAGAAACAACATGTCGAGATGTCGTGGAATTTTGCAAGGAACCTGGAGAAGGCAGTTGCCATCTGGCTGAAGTGTGGCGGGGGAATGGTATGTATTAGGCTCTGTAACGGCTACTGGCACATGAAATTTAATATGTATCAAATGCAGAATATTGTTTCTGATTCTTAGCTATCTGTGCTTAGAAGGAATTGAGTGATGAAAATATAAACTAGCATTATATTACATGGGGACAGGATTTTCAGGTGCTTTTGTGGAAAAGCACGTGGTGTGATTTGAGGCCGACTGCAGCCGTCTATGGTAGGTAGCGGGGGGGCCCCGATCCACGCTGGACGACAGTGCCCTGTTTGCTGAGGCCGGGCAGCGCCTTGCTTCCCACACCTCCAGTGGCTCATCTGTTTTTCTTTTCTCCGTGATAACTTTGTGAAGGCAGAAACATTATTGTGTTTCCCGTGTACAAAACCCTTTAAATACTAGGCCCTCCATGAATATTTGTGTATTAAAGTGAAAAGAGTAAATACTGGCGCTTACATTTAAGGACTTTGTCAGCAAGCTGGTCAGTGCAGGTAATGTGATTCCTCAATACAGCAAACTGTGGAGTCCTTTGGACGCCAAAGCAGGGGTTGAGTTTAGATAGGATGGGGCACACTAAGCCAGGGGAGCGATGCGAAGGTCGGACAGGAGAATATGAGCATGGTGTGCTCCGAAGGCGCTCCTGGGGCGGGGGGTGCGCTACTCGGGGGCGCTGCTGGGGAAGGCAGGCGTCAGGGTAAAGACTAGACTGGCTGGCGCAGAGTCTGCAGCACGCGGGGGTAACTGGGCTGGAGGGGTCTGTACTGGAAAGTAAGAGAACGCTCAGTTGGAACATTTGGAGTTCAAGGTGATAATGAGATAAGCATCCAGTGGAATTATTTAAAGGGCCCTTAGGGATAATCAGTGAATTTGACATTTTTTAATTTTTAAATTGAGGTGTAATTGACAACATGATATTAGTTTCAGGCGTACAGCATAACGATTCGATATCTGTGTGTATATTTTACAAAATGATCACCATAAGTCTGGTTAACCATAGTTACCCTCCGTCACCATACACAGTTACAGAGTTTTTTTTCTTGTGATGAGAACTTTTAAGATCGTAGCAGATTTCAAATATGCAATAAAAAGTACGGAATGCTTCACGGATTAGCATGTCATCTTTGCACAGGGCCATGCTCGTTTCTCCGTATTGTTCCAATTTTAGTGTATATGCTGCCAAAGTGAGCGCTCTTTTAAATTTATTTTAATCATAGTTTACGTGCAATATTATATTAGTTTTAGACGTATAACATAGCGATTAGGCATTTACATACCTTATGACGTGCTCCCCACGGTAAGTCTAGTGCCACCTGACGCCCCACGTGGTTATTCCAGTGTTAGTGACGGTGTTCCCTGTGCCGTCCCTTACGTCTCCGTGACTTTTTATAACTGGCAATTCGTACTTAATCCCCTTCACTGTTTTTGTCTACTCCCTCTCCCCGCTCCTGGCAGCCATTAGTTCATTCTCTGTATCTGAGTTTCTCTTTTGTTTTGTTTGTTCATTTGTCTTTTAGGTTCCACATATAAGGGAGATCACATGGTGTTTGTCTTTCTCTGTCTGACTTACTTCACTTAGCATAATACCTTCTAGGTATTATACCCTCTAGGTACATGTCACAAATGGCAAGATTTCATTCTTTTTTATGACTGAGTAATATTCCATTGTATGTATGTACCGCCTCTTCTTTATCCATTCATCTAGCGATGGGTGGACACCTAGGTTGCTTCCATATCTTGGCTGTCATTAAATCATGCTGCAGTGAGCGTAGGAGAGTATATATCTTTTCAAATTAGTGTTTTCGATTTCTTCAGATAAATAGAAGTGGGATTGCTGGGTCACGTAGTAGTTCTATTTTTAATTTCTTTATTAGGAATCATAATATTCTTTGTTGTCTTTTTTGACAGTAGCCATTCCGACAGATGTGAGGCGATATCTCACTGTGGTTCTAATTTGCATTTCCCCGAGGATTAGTGATGTTGAGCATCTTTTCACATGCCTGTTGGTGATCTGTATGTCTTCTTTGGAGAAATGCCTATCCATTTTTTAATTGGACTGTTGGTGTTTGATGTAGAGTTGTATGAGTTCTTGATATATTTTGGATATTAACCCCTTATCGGATATATCATTTGCAAATACCTTCTCCCACAGTAGGTCGCCTTTTCGTTTGGTTGATCGTTTCCTTTGTGGTGCAAAAACTTTTTTGTTTGTTGTAGTCTCATTTGTTTATTTTTTCTTTTGTTGTCTTTGCCCTAGGAGACATATCCAAAAAGATATTGCTGAGAGTGATGTCAAAGAGTTCACTGCCTGTGTTTTCTTCTAGGAGTTTTATGGTTTCAGGTCTCATACTTAAGTCTTTAATCCATTTCGAGTTTATTTTTGTATGTGCTTTAAGAAAGTGCTCTAGTTTTTTTCTTTTTTTCATATATCTGTCCAGCATCATTTATTGACAAGACCGTCATAACCCAGTTGTATATTCTTGCCTCCTTTGTTGTAGATTAACTGACCGTATCGGCGCAGGCCTATTTCTGGGCTCTCTATTCTGTTCCATCGATCTAGCGTCTGTTTGTATGCCAGTACCATGCTGTTTGGATTACGAAAGCTTTGTAGCATAGTTTGATATCAGGTAGTGCGACACCTCCAACTTTGTTCTTTCTCAGTATTGCTTTGGCTATTTGGCTGTTGCTTTGGGGTTTCAAATAAAAGTTAGTATTATTTATTCTAGTTCTATGAAAGATATGCCGTT